TTTTTTAAAATAAGAAAACAATACAATCTATACATTAATTAAATATGTACAAATAAATCTCAATTTTTTGGTGCAAGAAATAAATCTCAATTACTTATACAGTGCATTATAAACATCAAAAAATGTAATGGTTGACCAACGAGGGGTTGGATCAAGTGGTAAGCGGCTTGTTCCAGCTTAAGCAAGGTCTCAAGTTCGAGTCTTTGTAAATGCAGCAGCCCTCGCTGGGAGACTCACCCATCATTTCCAGGTGCGCGATGCGGGTCGGATCCGGATTAGTCGGGGCGAAGCCCTGGATACCGGACGGAAACCGAAGAAAAAAAAATGTAATGGTTGAAATAAGTTGAGTGCAACGGCCAAAAATAAAATGAAGGATCAGAACTCAAAATATCACTATAATATTCAGAGTAAAATTCTATGTGACTTTGGAGTAAATTCTACAAGCACAAAGACAAAAAAAGGGGAAAGCTCAACACTTGTTGGTGCTGAAAACATCATCAACATCCAATGTGGTGAAAGACCAAGAAACAAAGCATTATTTATACAAACTTTAACTTATCCTCAAATTGCCCGAACAAGCATCATTACTGACTGAAATTGTTGTTGATGAATCTGCCTGTTCCTTTCTCATCGAAGGTGGTAAACCAAGACCAAAGAACAGTTGATCCAGCTGAACCACACATTCTTGCTGCTGTCACAACTCACCCTCACAATTTCTCTGCTACTTTTGGAATGATACAGCAGATGGATACTGAAGAAAGAAATTAAAAATGGTAGTTCTAATTAGTGTGCTTTCTGAACAAAGAAAAATGATCCAATTAACTATCAAAGCAACTCACGGGTATAAGTCCATAAATTAGTCTGGTATGGCATAAATTAGTCTAATAAGTCCATCTACAACTTTTGTCCATATTAAAGGTTTAAATGTGACAGTCTTGCACCTTGAAATAAGTTACACATAATGCTACCTCCAAGCAATACTGCATCCACCTTCATATATATTCTTAAACTGTCCTTGATATGGCAAGAAAATTTAGGGGAAAAACACCAATGCCCTGTAATTTTCAAACAAAGGAATGACTGATCCAGATGTTTTTGAACCAAAATCCAAAGATTTTCAATGGTCAATAGCTCTTCCTTTCTATGGAGAGACCTTTGATAACTGAGATTTAAGAAAAAAAAAAAAAACACGGAGGTAGAAAGTAACTTGTCCATTAATATTGTGGGTTTCTTACCCATATACAATAGGACAATTTCATCCTTAAAATGAAGAGCTAGGAAGAAGGTCAATTTACGTTTAATTATCTGAAAATGAGCCTCTAAAGATCAAATTGTGGTGCATCATATATACCTGGTCAAATGGTCTAAAATTGTTGGCTCAAAACCATATGAGTTTACAAGGTTGGCTTTGCCTAAGAACATCATTTAGAAAGCTCATTTGTGGCTTTCATCAATATAAATATTTCCAATGTAAAGTTGAACTCCTCAATCCCTTTCCAACGAAACAACCTGAAAAGGTTAATGAAAGCATGAACAATTTTGGAGGCAACTGAATGCATTTTTTCAGATGAAGAGGTTGAAAGGAAATGAAAGTCTTGAACTTCATCTGGAAATGGAGAGGTGTAAGAAACAATATATTTGAATTGCATAGGGCATAGGTTTTTACCTAATCTAAGGGTTAACTTATTATCCAAATTTTTCATTTTACATATTTTCCCTAGGACACAAAAAAAAAAAAAAAAAAAAAACCATTTTTGAATCCAAATATTAGTTGTGACTCTTAATTTAAATATTTACCAGAGGCTAATTACAAGGTACGTAGCTCACAATCAGAGCTGTTACTAACATTGAGCTTTTCAACCTATTTTCTTGCGCTAACATTTTGTAAGTGATGTGCAGTACCGTTGATGACTTGATGGTATACACAAGTCCAATTATGGTCCATCACCAAAGAGTTCAATATAGCCAACAACTTGAATATAGGGAACAGAAAGATAACAATGAGCTTTTCAAGCGTTGGGGATGCATGGATAAAAAACCAATCTGTATATAATACACTGCTTCAAAGAGGCTTACCAAATACCACACTTAACAAGTATTCTTCTCCTCTCTATACCCAATTAAGCAGAAAATAATCAAACTCAACAACGAAGTTTCTTCTACTTTAGGAAACACCAGAGATTGTCCACAACAATAAATCATCAAGAATAAATTCTTGGATCACCAATGTCAAAGTCATCACCATAATAAGGCTGTGAGTCAAAATCTCCCATCAAATTGGGATAAATTCAACAAGTGTGCTTAGTGTATTCCAAGAGGAATTGGACACCAAATCACTGTTGATCATCTAGCAGAACTAACTCCTCTACTGACTGCTGCTGTTGCAACTCACTCTCACTGTCTCTCTATTGTTTTTGCAATAATGATCACAACCAGCCACCAGCCATTATTTAAAGCTCCCCTGACTTGGTACATTTCAAAGTCCAAGCCCCATGCAGTTCATGTATGAGTTCAAGAAGACATTTCTCAACGCCAGATGTATGGATATACCGATATATACAAAAAGGGAATCCTAAAGAAATAAGAAATTGAAATGGTTAGTTAACATAATTGAGTATGGCATAAATTAGTCTAATAATAAGTCCACCTACAACTAATAACTTAGATTTTAACTTTCAAATTTTGCACATATTAAAGGATTAAAATGTGACAATGCACCTTGAAATGATTTTCACATAATGCTGCCTCAAAGCATTATTCCATCCACTTTCATATATATCCTCAAATTGTCCTTGATTAAGGGAATTGATCAAGGGAAGTTACAAGAAAAACTCTAAGAAAATCCGTGTCCTGCAAAAGTGAATTAAAGATTAGTATTATCTTGATGAAATGATTGAGAATCTCTTTGAACAACTGAGGGATGAGAAGATGAAGCTTGCCTTACCAGAGAGGGCATTCTTTGGAGGGTAAAAGCTTGTAGCTGAAAGCATGAGTCTATGACGAATCTTGTGAACACCACCATTTTTCATCAAGTTGTTAGATCTTGAAGCTACTTTGCAAGTCAATCCATTGTTAAGTAAAGCAACAGTTAAAGCAACTATGCTTGTGCCATAATCTTGGTTGTGACTTGAGATGAATAAAGAGGGAACACAATGCACATTGTTGGATCATTCATTTCTAACTCATCATACATACCAGAAGCTTCACCTCCTATATGAAAGGCAACGTTAATATCAAAGCATCCAACTCCTACTTGTTGAAAAAAGAACTTGTCTAAAATGGGAGGCTTGAACTTGGAATCTTGGATCAATCACCTTTTAACTAATCCTGTAGTTGACTTGAAAACAGCAAAGGGTTTAATCAGATGCTGTAAGATCAAAACAGGACAAGAACTAATTATAAGTTGAGTGTTACACAGTTTCAAGGAAGCAAACACTAAAATTATGGGAAATGTGATGATGAATCTTACAAGATGGGGAAGGGGCAAATAAGGGAACATGTAGACACTAAGTTGGAGTAACTTCTTGATATCTACCTAATTTCCATGCACTGGAATCGAAATTAAGATAAAAAAATACATATATACAAATAGCTGGTAACACAAATACAAGACAAATCAGAGTCAATTATATCATCAAAATGTATCACTTTGCAAATGATGGATAGAGATATCATGATATATAATTCTTCAAAATATATCACTTTTTGCTTATCCTAAAAATTAACACAACCAAGAGAAATAGGTAGCATGATAAAACTTTAGACAGGTTATTTGGTTACTCACAGAATATGTAGCTTGACATGGTCAGATTACAAGATTGCTTAATTCAGCAATGGTGATATCCGTTTTCCAGTTCTAGCTAGTCGAAAAATCTAATCTGTACGAAGGCCAGTCCGAATGGAAAAACACCAACAAACATGTGGCAGGAACGGAGGGTACCATTGAGAACATCCTTGTTAATCAAAATTCAATTCTCGTTTCAAAACTCTCCCCAATTCTTCAAAATAGAAAACACGAGGTTTTGCCGTAATGAATTCAAAATTCGAATCGGTTGGCTTGCCTAAGAACCTTATTTTGCAACTTGCAAGCTCATTTGTGGTGGTGGCTTTATCAATATATTTATGAATTCCCATAATGCCAAGGCCACTCATCCCCCTTTCAAATAATCTAAAAAGCATGAGCCATTTTCGAGGCACTTGAATGCATGTTTTCAAAGCAAAATAAATAGAATATAAAGTTTTGGGCAATTTACATGGGACTTCACTTCATCATCCATAAGAATGAAAATAAGAATAAGAATAAAAATAAAAATAAATCTAAGAAAAGAATAGTGGCTTGGCTTTATTTACCTCAACAATTGGTTGTAGCTAGTTCAAAAATCGAGGTAAACCTGCACAAAATGGATTTGTATATAAGCAAAGGCAGCACAAGTAAAAAAGAAAGTGTTATCTATTATAATTTTTCTAAATTCTCACATGGAAAGCATAAAATGATAATGCCTGTTTCAGTTCACACCAAGGTCTTATTTACCTCATCCTCATGTATCTCAACGCAGGGGATGCTCCAGGTGAGATTCCAGTAGTCTCCTCTCGCCTCAAAGCACTGTGGTTTTAGATGTGGACACTTCTCGATGCATAGTTGTCCAAGCGAGGGAGGGAAGGCTTCCCTTGGCAAAGATCGTAGCTTTGGGCAATTAATTATCCATAACTCTTGAAGGGAGCTTAGGTTTTGGAAGAGCCCCCCAGGTATGGATTCCAAATTTTCTTCATTCCAGATCTTCAGAAAGGTTAAAGAAGAAGGCATCACAATATCCAGAGGAAATTTCTGCTCAATTCTCAAGTGTTGAAGAGACAAAAGGTTTTGGAGGCCCATCGTCAAAGCCCTACCTGGGATTGATAGCTTCTGAAGCGATGTGAGTTGGTACATTGTATTCGGCACACACTTGAAATTCTTACACTCTATTTGAAGATCTGTTAAGTTTGGGGGTAAACCCCCATCTGGAATAAACTCCAAGCCGGGGCACTCTACCATCCATAGCAATTCAAGAGATTTCATCTGGTACATCGTATTTGGGAGATATTTGAAATTCTCACACCACTTTATCTCCAACTTCCGAAGATTGGGGGTCAATAATCCCAGCTCTTCTGGTAAGGAATCTAAAACTTCACAGCCGTTAACAGATAAATTAATGAGACTGTTGACGCAACCAAGGGTGAGTAAACTTCTCAACATTTTACAATGGTAAATAGAGATGGACTGGAGTTCCGTACAATGTTGCAGCATCCTCTCTGGAAATGATTCTAACCACTCACAGCGACCAACTTCAAATTTCTTGAGAAAAGCTGGTAGCTGATGGCAACCCTCAGAAGAATAAAAACATGGAACATTCTTTATTTCCAAATGTAGATTGCTATTATTATTGTCACTATCGGCATCCGGTAGAGACTCAAGGCCTTTACAGTTTGCTATTCTTAAGTATTTAAGTGAGATGGGTAATTTGCCTCTCGGAAAAGACTTGAGAGAATCACAACCATCAATTTCCAACTTTTCCAGTCTCGGCATCAACATACTAGTGTTCCTGCTACTGCTTCCATCCATCCTCATCATCATTGCATTGGGTAATGACTCCAAAGCTCTACAACTCCTAAGGATAAGATGTTTAAGATTGAAAGGCAAGACGCTTTCTTCTATTTCTGCCCCTTCCTCCCATAGACAAGTAAGATCATTGCAATTTCCAATATATAGAGTTTCAAATGTTGTCAAGAACCGTGTAAAACTCTGTGGCAAGCAAGTTAGTTTTACAATACCCCGTATTATCAAGTTAGTGAGGGAAGTGAGATCAACCATGCTTTTCAGAAGCACCCTGTTGCAATATTCAATATGCAGCTCTTTCAATGATGGAAGACTCATACTCATAGGCAAGCAAGTCGGTGCTGAAATACCGATAATTCTCAAATTAGCAAGTGAGGTGAGATCACCTATACTCTTCAAAAGCATCGCATTGCAATGTCTAACATCCAACTCTTTAAGTGAAGAAAGGTTGTTAGGTAATTGTCCTAACAACTTAGGACAATTTTGAATCACAAGCTTACGAAGACAAGGGAATTCACCTTCACTTCTAGCATGAGGAGTCCATTCCTTCCAATTTAACATCTCCTGAAACTCCAGTTCCTCCAGTGATGGAAAAGAGTCATGCCGCCCATAAAACTCAGAACCTACTACTTCAATTGCCCCCATGCCTTCAATAATCAATTTTTTGAGAACAGGTAGTAGGCCAAGGGATGGTAACAAAGTGCATCTCTTACAATTGCTGAGCTTCATGGATGATAAATTCAAAAATAATAATGGATCACAAACCCAATTTGGGAGTCTCTTGCCACCATAGTAAGAAATTTCAAGACTTTTCAAATTTGAATGAGGTTTTAACCAGTTGAGGATTTGCATGTCATGGACTAATTCATTTTCATCATTATTAGAAGTAGTCCACTTCAAGGCTAACTCTTCCAAACCATGGATCTTGTCTAGGTTGGCCTCCCTAACATCTTGAACATCCAAAACATTTTGTAGATCTAGAATATACAGTCTTCCTTGAAGTTGTGTCAAGTTCTTCAAAGCAGATAAACTGATCATCATTCCGTTTGCTTTCCCCACGATAAATTTGGACAGTGTTACAAGATTTTTAAGATTGCCTATTCCTGATGGCATCTCTTTTAAAGATGGCATCTCTTTTAAAGATGGCGTATCAGTGATATCAAGATGATGGAGATCAATTAGATTTCCAATCGTTGTAGGCAACTTAGTAAACTCTTTACAACTAGATAATAACAGTGTTTGCAAGAAAAAAAGAGAACCCACTGCCTCAGGTAAACATTTGATCCTTGTACAAGACAAATCAATGTATCGAATATGTTTCAAATGTTTAAAAGAATCTGGTAACTTGCTTATCTGATAGCTGCAAAGAGATAGCACTCTTAAGCGATTTAAAGTTGGTAGGAAATCATGCAAGATTCTGTTAGACAAAAAGAAGATATTGTGGTGGCCAAGTGCTTTTAGCAGGAAGAATGTTCTCAAAGGCTTCAATTTATCCAAGACTGTGAATCTTTTTGAGATTTCATATATGTGTGGAGTGAATGACAAATGACGAGCCGTCGTTAATTTTTCATCACCCTTGCTACGTTCAAGATTGCAATATATTTCCCCAGCAACATTTATAGCTAAATCATTTATGAGATCATGCATCACAAACCGTGATTCATCTCCACTTGATTGTTGAAAGAGTGATCTTGATAACAAATCTTGGAAATATTGATGACCAATCTCCTCTGGCATTTGCTTCTTTCCATGTGACTGTTGCTGTAACAAGCCCTCAGCCATCCATAACAAAACCAACTCCTTTTTGTCAAATTCATAGTCTTTAGGGAACAAAGCACAATAAGCAAAGCATCGCTTCAAGTGAGAAGAAAGATGACTATAGCTCAATCTCAAAGCAGGAAGAATTCCACTTCTATCTTCTGATGAACTCCATATCTCACTATTTAATATATGTTCCCACTCATCAGGACATAGCTTTCCCCGCAAGACGCCACCGAGTGTTTTTAGTGCCAATGGCAATCTTTTGCACCTCTCAACAAGCTTCTCACCAACATCTTGCAAGTATGGGTGCACATCAAAGTTCTCTTTCCCCAGTGCATGTCGTGTAAATAATGGCAAACAAGCATCATCTTGTAGCAATTCTAAATTGTAAACTCGATCATCTCCTCTCATCATTGTCCCAACATCCTTATTTCGAGTTGTGACAATTATTTTACTTCCAGGAGCTCCTGACATGAAAGGTCTCTTCAAGACATCCCATTGGCCATATTCCTTATTCCAAACATCATCCAATACAAGAAAAAACTTGCACCCAGATAACTTAGCTTTCAATTTCTCTTGAAGAAACCCAAAATCAAAGTCACACCTTACCTCAGTTATATGTTCTAAAATGGTTCTTGTTATTTGAACAACATCAAACTCATCAGAAACACAAACCCATGCCTTCAAGTCAAACCTGCCTTTTAGTTTGTCATGATTGTAAATAAGTCGAGCAAGAGTTGTCTTCCCTAGTCCACCCATCCCAACAATGGGAATAACAAAGTCTTGTTCAAGACTACCTCCATCTTCTAGCAACCTTTGAAGAATAGCATCTTTATCACTATCTCGACCCAACACCTTGTCCTCAAGAA